GGCAAAAGCTGTGAGACCTGCGAGGCCATGGCCCTACCTACCAGCAGGCCAACACAAGCTCTAGGACACCCCAAACCCTGTAGCCAGACTTCAGGACCTAGCTTTGTTCATCAGTAGGCTGGAACTAGCCCCAGGACATGACTTCACACCGGTGGGTGAGCACCAGTCCTGAGATCTCCTGGAACCCAAATCCACTCACCAGTATACCAGCATTAGCCCTGGGTCTCTTAGGGGTCTCAGGGCTTCCCTGATAGCTCAGTTGGTAAAGAATCCACTGCAATGCGGGAGACCCCACTTCGATTCCTGGGTCGTGAAGAACTAGCTGGAGAAGGGACAGGCTACCCATTCCAGTATTCTTGGGTTTCCTTTGTGGCTCAGCTGGTAAAGAATCTGCCCGCAATGCGGGAGACCCTGATTCAATCCCTGGGTTGGGAAAATCTTCTGGAGAAGGGAAAGGCTACCCACTCCAGTATTCTGGCCTGGAGAATTCCATGGACTGTATAGTCCATGGGGTCACAAAGAGTTGGACACGACTGAGTGACTTTCACTTTCTCAGGGGTTTCACAGGCAGGTGCATCATGACCTGGCCCTGCCAGCCAGTGGCCAGAAGCCTCCACATGAGGAAGGGCCTGGAAACCAGAGTGGGATCAAGCCATGCCTACCAGACTTCTCACAGTAGTCAGCTCACTCTAAGAGAAGGATCCATACACCCCTCAGATGGGGCATCACTAGAGCATAAAGCTCTGGTGACCAAAGAGCAGTGTGCTGCTCAGACTCATAAGAAGTCTCCTACAAAAGGCCAGTTCTCCAAGGTTGGGAAACATAACCAGCCTGCCACATACAGTAAAATAAAAACGGCAAGTTGGGCAAAATGAGGTGACAGAAGAACATGTTCCAAATAAAGGAATAAGATAGACAAAACCCAGAAGAAGAAGTGAATTAGAGGTAAGCAATATACCTGAGAAAAAGTTCAAGGTAAGAGTCAAAGATAAATATCTTGAGAGTAAAGAGTGAAAAGTTTTGAGTTGTTAACAAAGTTAGAAAATATACAGAACAAACTAGATGAAGAATAAGTGAAATGAAAAATACATTAGGAATACAGAAGGAATAAACAGAGGATTAAATGATACAGAGGAATGAATCAGTGAGCTGCAAGACAGAGTAGTGGAAATAACTGAAGGTGAACAGCAAAAAGAATAAAAAGAAATGACTGTTTAAGAAACCTCTGGGAAAACATCAAGCATACTAATATTTGCATTATAGAGATCTCAGAAGGAGGAGAGAGAGAGAACAGGCAGAGAACATATTTGAAGCAATAATAGCTAAAAATATTCCTAACCTAAAAAACAAGATATCCAGGTCCAAGGAGCATGTAAAGTTGCAAACCAGATCAATTCCAAGAGGACCACATCAAGACACACTATAAGTAAAATGGCAAGAATTAAAGAGAATATTAAAGAGTGGGAAGGGAAAAGCAACAGGTTACCTACAAGGGAATTCCCATAAGGTGATCAGCTGACTTTTCAGCAAAAACTCTGTAGGCCAGAAGGGAGTAGTATGATATATCTGACAAAAGGGAATAATAACCTACAACCAAGAATACTCTATCTGACAAAGCTCTCATTCAGATTTGATGGAAATGTCAAAAGTTTTACAGATAAGCAAAAACTAGGAGTCCAGCACCACCAAATCAGCTGTTTAATAGACATGTTGAAGGGACTTCTCTAAGCAAAGGCAACATGAAAGGGAAAAGCTCATTGGTAAAGGCAAAAAAATATATAGTAAAGGTAGAAAGTTAACCATATATGAAGCTAGTAGGAAGGTTAAAAGACAAAAGTAGTAAAATATATCCATAATAAGGAATTAAGGGATATGCAAAACAGATATAAAATATAATGTAAAAAACTAATTATGAGGGGAGGAGAGTAAAATGAAGTGTTATTAAAATGTTTAAGGAGTCAGCAATTTAATCATATGTATGTGTGTATACATATATGTGTGTGTACACGTACACATTTACAGATTCAGATACCTTATGGTAACCACAAACCAAAAATCTGTAGTACATGCACAAACAGAGGAATTCAAACATAACACTAATACCAAAGTACATACAATGTAAACTGTTGCAGCCACTGTGGAAAACAGTAGAGAGGTTCTTTCCTCAAAGAACTAAAGATATTGATAGAACTACCATACAATCCAATAATTTCACTCCTGGGTAAATATATCCAAAGAAAACGAAAACATTAATATACATGTACCTCAGTGTTCATAGCAGCATTATTTACAATAGCCAAGACTTTGAAGCAACCTAAATGTCCATCAACTGATGAATGGATAACGATATGTATAAATACAATAGAACAGTAGTCAGCCAAAGAAAAGAACAAAATTTTGCTATTTGCAACAACGTGGATGGACTTGGAGGGTTAAATTTGCTTAGTGAAATTTAAAGTCAGAGAAAGACAGAAGTTATTATTTTCATATATTATCTAAAAAATAAAACTAGTGAATATAATGAAAAAGTAACAGACTCACAGATATATAGAACAAACTAGTGGTTACCAGTGGGGAGAAGGAAGCAGGGAGGGGCATGATAGAGATAGGGGATTAAGAGATACAGAGTTCTATATATAAAATAAATAGGCTACAAGGATATTTTTTACAGCACAGGGAATACAGCCAGTATTTTATAATAACTATAAATGGAGTATAGTCTATAAAATTTGAGTCACTAGGGTGTACACCTGAAACTAGTATTATTGTAAATCAACTATACCGCAATACAAAAGAAAAAAAGACTGAGTATATAGTAAACTGCTTTGAAAGTTGCTTCCACATTAAGATTCATTTAAAAGCAACAGATGGAAGAAGAGAGCTGGCCATTGCAACGTTACAAAAATCAATGTGCTTCTATTAAGGCAAAGAGGTTTTGAGAGATTTGCTACAGAAACTTACTGCCAGGAACCTCTAAAACCTCCCAAAGTAAGCCAAGCCTCTTTAAATTTCTGAAGTAGAAACTGACCTGTAGCCGGGGAAGTGGTTTGTGATTGACCCAGCTGCCAGGCAGCAGAAGATAGGTTGCTTACAATTGTGGTAAAATGTCCCACCACTGTACAAAGCAAAAACTGCAGAGCTTTTGAAACAGCACCCAAGCACCTGAAAGGTAATGGTGATTGGAAACACCTGCAAGATATTTATCACTTTTATTAAGAAACAATGATTGTACAATTCAAGATTAAAAACCAGGTGTCTAAGGAGTTGTTTCAGAAGGCAGAAATTTGCTCTTCTTAAGAAATCATGGTAGAAAGACTCAATCAATTTGTTTGGCAAAAACATTTTATTCACAAAATCTCCCTTTTCTCTATAACTCTCTGCTCAAATAACTCAGAAGGCTGGAAGCTGACATTTGATATTTACACAGCTGAAAATCTGAATACTCACTAATGTCTTAGCTGTTCTACATATTCTACTACTGTCTAGCCACCGCGCGCCCCGCCCCCCATCTTTGTTCTTAAATCACAACATGAATGAAGAACTCAGAGGCTGGAAAAATCAAATCCCCATCATCTTTCCCCAGCCCCATGCCACATAATCTGTTACAAAATCCTACTTTAAAAATCATCCTCTTTTGGGGGAGGATGGTGCCATTCTCTTGAATGAAAGCAACTAGCACAGAAATGACTTGTGATTGCAAGCAACACACAAAGAACATTTTCATCACGTCGGGGAATAATTACTGCTGCTCCTGGTTCACGGAGTCTTCTTTACATCTCAAAAGCTATAAATAATCCAGTGTGCCAAAGAATCATTACAACGTTTACTTTAAAATGTATGAGTCTTATTTCTTCTAAATGGAGACCAAGCTTTCCTCCCCCCAACCCACCTATGGCTGGTACCCCTGCAGCTTGCCTTACTTGATTGAAATCGAGGGCATTTGGTAGAACGCTGAGTGATTTAAGTAGGTAAATCTCCATGTGATTCTGAGGAGACAAAAAGACAATGAGCTCAAGGCATCAGCTGATGCAAACCCACTATACCAGCTTTGGAGATGTAAGGGACACCCCAAGCAGCCTACTCCAAAAACTTTTAAGCATCTTTAATGGTACCCTGAGGGCCTCTGCTTGCGTTGAGCATCAAATGATGCAAGGTGCTAAATATGTAATGCTCTGCCCTCCTCCCACTGGCAACTGGAGAGCAGAAAGCAGCATCTGCACAACTCCTGGTGTGCATCCTCCCTTNCCGTGGCTCTCCGAGTGCCCTCTTGGCCAGTTTCTCCTGGGTCCTCCTGGCATCACCATCTAACCTTGAGGCTAAATGACTCAGACAACTGAGTGAAGACAGAGAGCAAAAGTCTCTCTTTTCCCAATTCACACAACTTTTAACACTGTGCCACAGAGAACTGCTGCAGTTTGTTCTAAGTACAGAAAGCAAAAGGTATGAAAGCACATGACTGTTGCACAGAGGGGAAAAAAACAAGGAAAAACGTGGAAAAGGATTCGCACCAGTCTTGCCCGTGTCACAGGGCACACAGGGGCACCTGCTTCTTGCCCGACTCTCGGGATAAAGCCCAGCCCCACCATCCCCGGAGCCTCAGTTCTCTCGGCCATTCAGTTGTTCCTGGTAAGGGTGCCTGGAGCGTCAGACTTAAAAGTGCAGCTGAGCGTGGCAGGGTGACGGAGCAAGGGGACGAGGCCCCCGGAGGAGGATGGCTGTTACAGAAGAGAATCATCAGAACAGAGATAATCTTGTCTGAGACCACGGATATAAAACGAGTAGCTCTGGGGACTCAGAATGCAGTAAGCCAGTACAGTGCTGAATATTTTGGTAAACAAAACAGAAATAACAAATGAACAGGGCTACCCGATAGCGGAGAACCGTTCTCTTTTCTACTTCAGGGTAGAGGGGCATCTACTCAGGGTCCACAAATGTGCGTCTGCAGAGCCATGAGAAATGAGAAGTCCCTCCCTCTGAGGATTCCCTGGTACACGGCGGGTAATTCAGCATTAACCAAGGTGAAATGGCGGCCAGGCCCCGGCCCATTAGCCTCTGGTGTCTCTACTGCAGGCCGGCCTCAGTTCTTCTCCTTCTGAGGCTGGCCTTTGGCGGCCCCCAGGTTGTTCCACACCTCTGTGTACATGAGGGTCCCAGTGAAGACAAACAAGGTGCCCAGCCAGTGCCACAGGGTGAAAGGGTTCTGAAAGTACAAGATGGAGAAGATGAGGCTGACGAACTTGCGCAGCGTCACGACGAGGGTGACGGTGAGAGAGGCGCATTCTGTGGTGAGGATGAAAACGCCCCGGATGCACACGTACCTGGAGGGGCGGGGTTAAGGCGGTTTTCTGTCAACAGCCCAGAGATTAGCGGGAGAACCTTCTGGCCAGGTGCATGGCTTCAATGTTCACATCCCAGGAACCAGAAAACAGGGCGTTGGCCACGGCTGCCCTGAGGCTCCTCCTTAGGAGAACACCCTGCAGAATTCCTGTCCTGTCACACGATTCGTGGATCCTAACTTGAAGCTGCCTGAAAACTTCCTATGATACTCATTTGGGATTTTTCTTGGATTCTTCCCATAGTTTACAGTGAAGCTCACCTCCCAAGTAATGACAGAAGGTAACACTGTCAGTAAAGGTGATCACATCTCCAAAAAGGAACTCTGTAGGGCAAGCATATGAGGTGCCTTCGAGGAACGAGGTCAACCACAATCTGTTCCATTGTTTCAAAGGCTCAAGGGTTTTTCTAATGGGCCTAAGGTGGTTCAAGGGCTTTCCTTGTGCCTCAGCTGGTAAAGAATCCTCCTGCAATGTGGGAGCCCTGGGTTGGGAAGATCCCCTAGAGAAGGGAAAGGCTACCCACTCCAGGATTCTGGCCTGGAGAATTCCATGGACTGTATAGTCCACGGGGTCACAAAGAGTCAGACATGATTGAGCAACTTTCACATTCAAGGTGGTTCAAACGAGCCATTTAAAAAATTAGGTCTTATTTAATTTGAAATTTCTTGCAGAATTTTGTGGCAGCTTGTGAAATATCCTAGGATACTGGAAAACTCCATGTAGAAATCATAAAGTATTTCTGTCACATACTAATTCTTAGTTACCCACTGACTTCTATCCCTCCACCCAAAGGTTTTCCTTTCTGGTGTCTTATGACTTACTGACCCTCCACACCACCACCATCTCTTTGCCTCCCTCTCCCTGCAAGAAAGGAGTTCACTAGATGGGCCTGTCTCCTCCTTACTGCAGAATAGATCAGAGCAAAAGCAAAATGCATGTCACTGCACTGTTAGAAGAAAAAACATTTCTGTGGCAAAATAGCACATGGCAGACGAGTGCAAAGGATACTGAGTGATGACATTCATGAGGAGGTAGAACCACATGATGGGCACTGTCACACCAATGACTGGAACCTGATACAATTCTGCAGAGATTGAGAGACAGTCGTATCACTTTGGACAGCTTATGTTTTCATCCCTTTGAACATAGTAACACAGATGAACATAGTAGAGATAGCAACATTTTTTCTCTTGCAAATAGACTTGGTCATATACTTTACTTGTGATTCCAGGCTATATTGTCCTCAAGAGTCATTACACTGGTTTCTTAAAACAAATTATATTTTAACTTTAAACTCTTTACCTTTCACCTGACTAGGACCCCACTTTACAGAGAAAGATTCTGCAACACAGAGAAGTTCAAAATGATACAGTCTTAAGTATACTTGTCTTAAGATACTTGTCTTGAGAGACAAGCCCTAAATAAATGCCATTTGGAAATATGTTCAATCCTACCAGTAATCAAAGAATTCTAAATTATTACAAGGCTGTATCATTCTATATCTATTAACTTAGCAATTAAACACTTATAATAAATAATATCCTGATCTGGCAAGGTGGTAGTAGAACTAGCAGCCGTTCAGTGGGTGGTAGTATAAATTGGTGTTTTCAAAATAAATTTCACAATAGGTATTAAGTGGTCATAAAGGCATTGGTTCTTATTCTCAGGAATTCAGTCAGTTCAGTTCAGTCACTCAGTCGTCTCTGACTCTTTGCGACCCCTTAGACGGCAGCCCACCAGGCTCCCCCGTCGCTGGAATTCTTCAGGCAAGAACACTGGAGTGGGTTGCCATTTCCTTCTCCAGTGCATGAAAGTGAAAGGTGTGGATTAGTCCTAGTTAATTCAAAAGAAGAAACAAGTTCAACATACATTGTGGTGGTGTTTATAATAAAGGAAAAACAAAATCAGTCACAATGCCCAGTGATAAGAGCAAGGACTATGTAAGCAAAGGTAGTTTAACTAGATGTGACATTATACACTTGATTTAAAACAAAAATCACAAAGATTATATATAGTCACATAAAAAATGCAGAACGAAAGTGAAAAAGAAAGTGTAAAATTATATTTACACAAGGATTATGACTGTGTGAGAATATATGTAAATAGTGTCAGGATGGAAAACTGGTAAAATGAAATTAGCTCATGTGTAGGGCAATAGAACTGTAACTTTCCTTCCTTGAAATACATTCTTATGTTTAGTTTTATATAATTAGGCTTCCACAGTAAATATATGGGAGGAAATAAAATATTCAAGATCAAAGAGAATAAGGACATAGTAATCCTTGAAGGATCAGTCTTTTTATATTGCTAAATTGTTTGGGAGACTTGAATTATACGGGCTTCTCTGGTAGCTCAGACAGTAAAGAATCTACCTGCAATGTGGGAGACTTGGATTCAATCCCTGGGTCAGGAAAGATCCTCTGGAGAAAGGAAAGGCTACCCACTCCAGTACTCTTGCCTGGAGAATTCCATGGACAGAGGAGCCTGTCCATGGGGTCACAAAGAGTCAGACATGACTGAGCCACTAAAACTTTCACTTGAATTATACAGCATAACTGAGTAAACTCTAACAAAGTGATGCTGAAATATGGTTAGTAAATGAACATTAATTTTTTTTGCAAAAAATAAAAATGTATATAAATAATTTCTAAAATTCTATGTCTGGACTAGTGGGAAATCCCAATAATTTAGTGTTATATTGTCTTTGAAATACTTAGCAAGTACTGAAATGAAAAGAAAGTCAACAAATGTTATTACTGTATAATAACTTGAGAGATTCACTGTATCAGCTTGCTGGGGAAAGACAATCCATATGATGTACAGTATTTAGACGGATGTTCAGTTTCCTTGCAAATAACAACTTCATCTGAGACGAAAAAATGTATACTTAGGAATGGTTCTAAAGAAGTTGAAGGCAGACCTTAAAAGATTTTTTTTTATAAAAATACCCATCCCTGTGACTTCGAGAAGGAGCATTCAAGTAACTAAATCAGTATCAATCTCAAGGAACTTGATAATGTATTTATTTCAACAGCCCTTTGCTATATGGAGTCTCTTAAGAGACCTTAGAAAACACTGCGTCAAAAATCAGCTGTATGTCAATTATATCTCAATTTTTTTTAAGTCAGAACCAACTGAGTAATTCAGAGGCTTAAAAACTTTCTTACATGCCGTCATCACACACTTTTTTGCAGGCAAATGGGAGATAACAACTTTGCAGACTCAGAGAACAGTTACAACTTCACAACATGTGATCAGATAGCAAACAAATGTTTACTGAGTCCCTACTGTCATTCTACAAAACACACTTACCATTTTAGGTCTGAGCAACATAAAGCCTTAATTTTAAAAAGATTTGTTCCCTGTGTATTCATTTGTCTGTATAACACGCTCTGTCTTTTAGTAGATAATCAGATTATATTGGGTTGACCAAAAAGTTTGTTCAAATTTTTCATTACACTTTATGGAAAAGGAATCTTGGGGCCAACCTAACATTGGTAATTTCTTTTAAGTTAACTAACAATTATTAGCTAATGTATTAAACAGCCACTGTAAAAAGTAATAGCCAACTCATACTATAGACACCTGAACTAATTTTTCTTATTCTTGCGGCCTATCTACCCCGTTGTCATTTCTGTTCCTCCTTGCTTGGAGGCAGCTCGGCCTGTATCTGTGAGCAAATGCACCTTTCCTAGCAGAGAGGGAGGAACAGGAGAAAGAAGCTGGACTGCTGTCCAACTTCTCATGGCTCCAGTCACTGCAGTATTATTACTATTTGTTTGCATTCTCAGATCATCATACATTCCCTATTCAAATGCAAATAGCACACAAATTCCAAAGCAAAACAGAAAATTTGAAGATATTGTCTTACTTCATTGGCAAATAATTGAGAAGTGTCTGCAAAAGCTTTTGTTGCTGCAACCACTGATTAATGGCACTATATTTCAGGAAGGTGGCATGGGGATGGGTGATCTGGATATGATGAAAACTGCGGAGGTGAAGTCACGAGTAAAACTGAGATGTTGCCTCTGAAACTGTCAGGTAATTCTACTGGATAACCCCAAACTCACCAGAATTATTGAACAGAACTGCATGGTCATAAATGTCAGAAGCCAAGAAGATGAAACCAGGAAGTGGAAGGGCATGCTAGGGGAAGAAACATTTCATGTAAATTTAAATGCAAAAACATTACAGATGTATAATAGAGTGTATCTTTTACAATGTTTGGAAGTTTTACAAGTTGTGTAACAAGAGATGTCAAGAAAAACAAGTCAGACTTGTTAAAAGTATCCAGTGCTTTTAATAGCTTCCCAGGTGTTACCAGTGATAAAGAACCTGCCTGTCAATGCAGGAGATGTAAGACACAGGTTCAATCCCTAGGTTGGGAAGATACATTGGAGAAGAGAATGGCAACCTACTCCAGTATTCTTGCCTGCAGAATCCATGGACTGAGGAGCCTGGTAGGCTATAGTCCATAGGGTCACAGAGTCAGACACAACTTAAGTGACTGAGCACATACCCAGTGCTTTTAATAAGCCCTGTATACTTTTAATAAGTCCTGACACTGTATGGCGTGATATCAACCTGCAAATTACAGTTCTTGCCCCATAGAAGCTGATGGTCATTACAAAACAATAGAGCCCGCATCCTTCCCTCACCAAAAGGGAAGGGGAAATTGAAACACAGTCATTCTGCCCAAAGGAACTGCCTATATCTTACTATTTTTGAGAATGGTTAAACAATATAACAGATTTAAAAATTATATGGAACGTGAAGGCAGATTTTAGGGAGTTCATGAAACTAATGGGAGAGAGACTAGAGGACAATATGAAGTCAGGGGAAAAGAAATGAAGAGAGAGAGATTGAAGAGGAAGTGGAAACAATAGGTAAGCAAAGATTAACGTGCCTGACAACCACCCACCCACCACCACCACAGTAAACTGTTACTAAGGAATCACAGTAAACATTTACCAAGCAGTTAACTATGTGCCAGGTACTGTGCTAAAAGAAACATGGGAACCAAACAGAATGCTCCTTTATTTTTTAAACTCCCAGCCACATACTGTAGCTACAATTAAATATCTCAAATTGCTTGTCTGCAATTTCAGTTCAAAAGGTTTACAGGGAAGGACTCCCTGAGGTTGCTGAACCTGGAGGCAACACTATCCCTGAGACCTTGAGGAGCTGGGCATTATCTCAACAGGAAAGAGTGGGGAGAAAGAAAGCTAGAGAAGGTGGCTCTAGATCAGCAATTTCAAATAAGAAGCGAAAGGGCATATAATTAGCTAATTAAGTTCTCTATCAAAGGAATAAAGCCTGTCTGAGCAGCTTACTCTTCAAACCCCATCCTCCCCAGTTCTCCCCAGTTCCTGCCTGCACATATTTTCCTTGACTTTTGAAACTTCTGTTCCCTTTCCAGGTTTCCATATTGGTTTTAACTTGATTTCATCTTTAGGAACATTGGGTTCCTTGTCTTCTGGAGAAGGGAATGGTTGTTCCTGGTTGGCTGACATGTTCTGTTCACACTGACTAATAGCAATCATTTCCTGTAGAGAACTACGGCAGGCTATTAAAAGTGCCAAAGTTGGTGGGCCCCAAAGCAGTTTACTGGATAATAAATTGATCCTTCAACTACATCAGAAAGATGGTATACCATACTTGAACTAATATACTACAAAAACAACTCAGTAATTTTCCTTTCTCCCAGGTTCAAGAAATTGCTTACATTATAAAACAAAGCCTCCTTGGAGTGTTTCCCAAATTGTTTGTACAGAGTCTCTTGGAAAATACCCATCCTTGCGGACATCAGAAGAGCGAAAGTCAGTGCCCCNCTACAAAAACAACTCAGTAATTTTCCTTTCTCCCAGGTTCAAGAAATTGCTTACATTATAAAACAAAGCCTCCTTGGAGTGTTTCCCAAATTGTTTGTACAGAGTCTCTTGGAAAATACCCATCCTTGCGGACATCAGAAGAGCGAAAGTCAGTGCCCCAATGCCTGAAAAGCAAACATGGAGTTACAGAATGCCCGTACTGGCTAACTTCTCAAAAAACATTTATTCTTTTCTTAAAAAACATTTATTCAGTTCTACAAATATTACACACTAAACACGGACCATGTACAAAATTTAAAAAGAAATAAAAATCAACCACCATATTACCATCTAGTCCTAAATAGTTTGCTGTCTTTCTCTGTATATGTTGCTTAGAAATTGGGTTGGATAAAAAGTTCATTTGGGATTTTCTAAGATCTTACAGAAAGCCCAAAGGAGATTTTTGGCCAACCCAATAGATACTTTATGCTGAAATGGGATCATAATTAGTATGTAATTTCATATCTTTTTCTTCATGATCTTTTTCCTGTATTTTCCGTCAAGTCATTCCATTAAAAATGTTTTCAAAAGTATGATTTAATAGTGGCATATTATTCTATCATGCGGACTGTATCATACTTAAATGTCTAACAAGAGGAGAATGGTTAGATTACTTCTAATTATTTCATCATTAAAATCAACGTACATCCTAGTACATAAATCTTTAAACAGAATGTTGACTATTCCCTTAGGAAAAACTCTTATAAGGGGGATTACTGAGACAAAGGCTGTAGACATTTAAAAAGCTCAATACGTAATTTTTTTCCCCAGAGAGTCTGTGTCAATTTACCATAAACAATTTATATGAATAGGGCTACCTTACTGCACCCTCAGCAGCAATAATAATCAATATCTAGCCAATAGACCAAAACAAAAAGATACTACATTTTGGTTTCAGTTTGCATTTCTTTGTTTAGTAACCAGTGAGACTGAACCTAAGTTTATTGAATATTAATTCTATGCCCATGAATTGTGTGTTAAAGTCTTTTATTCTTACTGGAGGAAGTATCTTCCTAATAGCTCATAAAGCTCTTTCTGTTAAGAATAGCGACCTAAAGGGATAAAGTTGCAAAGTCAAGAAGCAAGGAGAATCCAGTTCTTTCACTGCTACTTTTTCCCCGTTTGGTCAGTCTCCATCTCTTATTGCTATCACTGACTTTGCCCTCTGTATAGGATATAGCGAGGGCAAAGCTCTATAGGAGTTGTTTAATTAATTCAACAAAGAGATATCTGTATTTTCAAAAATTACCCAGGAGATTCTGATGACCAGTTAGGTTTGGGAACATTGCCATATGGAAGAGCTTATGAAGAAAAGAAATCTAAGATTTAGAAATGGGTCCTACGGAAATTTAAAGAGCCAACTGCTGTAATGTACCCTCCTTCTGTAGAAGCTTCTGCTCAGCAGACAGATCATAAAGAAATGGATGACACTCCCCTTGTTCCCAGAGAGTATGATGGGCAACTAGACACAAACTTTTCTTTCTATACTAGTGGCAACCAGGAAAAACATCCATGTTGTAGAACAGGCTACCATGAACACAGATATTTTAGTTTCTTCAACCCTAAGGTTCAGAGATACATAGTCCCAGGTGCCTCTCTCTTCCATGGCATAATTTATTCAGCTGAAGCTTCTTGCCAAGAAACATATCCCTTAGGAGAAAACTCTGAAAACAGAACTGCAGAGGCAATTAGCTTTACTGTAATTACTGTACTTGCCTAGTAACCACCATGCAAACGCCTGGAATCCATCATTCTCAGTTGAGCTGGACTGAGAAGTCTAGGAAATAAGAAAACATACAAGGTATAGAGACCAGAACTACAGGCAAGGGGCCTTGATACAAGGAAAATATTTATGTTACCCATTTCCCTCTGTAATTCTCTTTTGAAGACGTAAATTCTTGTATGACATGAGCACTTACATTTATTGTATCATTAATAAGTACCTGGGCACCCCTGGTGACTAGTGACTATAGAAATCATTTGTGAACAGACTCTTACCACCTGCTTTGCTGACATGAAAGTGCAAACAAATATCCCCACAGACACCAGAGCAATGGAGGTATATTTGAAGATACTGTATCTGCAAAAATAAAAAGAGCACAGATATGAATGTCCGCATGATGCTGACAGTAGGATGGTTCACGAAAGTACAGATCACCAAGACATGATCAAGAGGATCACTTCTCAGCAGAGTCCACCTACGTCCGTGCGTGAAAGAGTCAGAATACTGACTTGTTTCTAGACCACACCCTTTCTGGTAGTGTTCAAGACTTGGTACACCAGTAGACTGTTTCATCAGAAAACAAAAAAAGGCAGATCAGGCACAACAACCCATCCTGCTCTTGTGTCTAAATGAAAGCCTGACAGATCTTAATACGGAATTCCTGTTGCTTTTCCTGGTTTCTAGGGCCCAAACATAGTGTGAAGAGACACAGCATGCAGAGGAAGGACAGGACAGAAGGACTGCCAGGACAAGCAGCAGGATTCCACACTCGGAAAAGAATTCAACTGTCCCTTTTCAGGGGAGGGGGCTGTCTTAATGTCTCTGAATGACTTAAACATTGTTTTTAAATGTTGGCATAGCTGGATAAAGCGAGTAATACTAAACCAATAGTACTATTAGAAGGAATAACGGTGGCATTTCACATTAACTAAAACACTAAATAGTATTTTAGTTAATACTATTACTAATACTAAATACTAATTTAGTATTAGAATACTAAATACTAATTAAATATTAGTTATTAAATATTAGTAATTACTAGTAAAATACTAGTAATTAAATATTACTAATACTAATACTAAAATAGTATCAATTCACATCCCTCTCAGGCTCTTGGTGATGAAGCAAAAAGCCTCAGGCGAAAATGAAAAGACGTTAAAACCTTACATCTGAAGTTTGCTACTCAAATATTTTGTATAGTTCTGGTCACAGCGTGTCAGAAAAAGGCCAACAGAACTGGCTACGGGGAGGGGCAAGGAGCCAAAAGCACTACTCTAGAGAAGAGGGGTGGGCAAGGAGACAGGCATTGCTGCAGCAGATGTATAAACAGACAGGAACTCTTCAGTCTGCAATGATCACAGAGAGAGGTCTAAAATTCAGGTCTGAACAATCATGAAGAACACAGTTAAGGTGAATAGAGAGGTTTGGTCTTCAAATCCTGGAATGGGGAAAACACTATAAACTTGAAGGGGTAATACTGAAGATAAACAAAAGGAGATGATACATGACTAATCCATGATATAGATAGTTAGCTTTAGAGAAATGTCTGCTCTCTGGGTAAGACCCACTGGAGACAGTCAAAAAGAGCGAGAGAGAGATTCAAGATGACAGACTCAGAACAGATTCTTAAGGAAAAATTAGATGTTTGATAAAGTCCCCTGACAGTTGGGGTATGTCTGAATACTAATATATTCCTTTTATAGTAAGTTCTTCTGTATCCCTGCTATGCACCAAAATCAAAGGTTATAAAGACCACAAGTCTGTCCCAAAGTGAATTTTACACTACCAAGAAGCACAGGGGTCACTTCAAAGGTAATGAGCCTGAGCATTATCTCTGTATGCTTGAACAGAAGAGCCTAGAAAAGCAATCAACTACAAGGGTGCTCTCATCTGGGGAATATATGAGCCTCAGGAGATAAAGAGCTCATCACCAGGAGCCAGCAGGACAGGACAATTATCTTTTTTATGACCCAGTCCTTTTTACTTAAAAAACCCTAGGTTCCCATGCTGAATTGACAGCTACTTTCCAAGCTGGCACAGAGTTCCAATACTGGGGTTGGGTATGGACTACATTGAAAAGCTGGTACCAACTCATATTTTCGGTCCTAACAGTGAGAAGGAACTTTCCCTAAGAAATGTTCCAGCCTTAGAAACGTGCTGTCTCTGCCCCTTGCGCCCCTCCTCCTTCGGTGTGAGGGGTGAGGCTCTGAATGAAGGTGAGACACAAATCCCTGGAAACAGCATCCAAGGTACTGCTTTTTTTTTTAAGATTGTTTTTTGATGTAGACCATTTTTAAAGTGTTTATTGCATTTGTTACAATATTGCTTCTGTGTTTTGCTTTGGGGTCATGTGGAATCTTAGTTCAACCAGGGATGGAACCCACATTGCCCAAATTAGATGGTGAAGTCTTAACACTGGATCCCCAGGAAAGTCCCTCATGTACTTCTGATACTTCCCAACTGTAACCAGAGAGAGCTGCTCGTGATAGTCACAAAGACCAGTCCTAAAACTTTTCCTTGCCTCTTCTTGGCCACTTGGGCCTTTGTTAGGAATCTTCTTTGTAATACGTATGATTATTCCTTAGTGTGCTATGTTGTATGCTTCCTAGGAGAGCACTGTCCCACAGAACTTTGGTAAATCTGGAAATGTTCCACACCTGGGCTCTCTAATATGGTCACCACTAGTCACACATGGCTACTGAACATTTAAAATGAATATGTGACTAGAGAGATGGAGAAACTATATATTTAATTTTATTTACTTTTTAATATTTAAATGTAAATGTAAATAGTCACATGTAGCCAGTGATAACCACATGGGACAGTGAAGTTCTAGATCAATTCGCTTCATAAGTTATTGTTTTTATGTAGTTGCAAAGTTGTGTCTGACTTTCTGTGGACTATAGCTTGCCAGGCTCCTCTGTCCATGGAATTTCCCAGACAAGAAGCCTGGAGTGAGTTGCCGTTCCCTTCTCCAGGGGATCTTCCCAACCCAGGGATCGAACCTGGGACTTTTGCATCAGCAGACAGATTTCTTTACCACTGAGCCACCAGGGAAGCCTGGCTTCACACGTTAGTATGGTACTCAAGATTTAATGACAAGAGTCTATTAATTCTACACAGAGAAAATGCTGCTCCAAAGATACAGGTGGGGCCTCTTCCCTGATCCACTGCCTCAGGAATGGGCCTCACTGTCACAGACAGAACCAAGAACCAAGGCAGATGGCCAAGAGCAAACTTATCACCACTCTGAGAAGGAATCCAGACAAAACTGTGGCTGGGGCTCAGGTGACCCTTCCTATATACAAAATAAAAGAGCACTGCTTACCTTTTTTTCAAAATGATAATTCCTAGAATCATGTTGGCAATTAGAGAACCCTGTAAAAAGAGACAACAGTTTTTGTGCATGAAGGAAAGAAAATAATGTAATTCAAGACAAATATGAACATAGAAAAGAGGGAAAAACAACTACAAAGATGGAGGTTAGGATTAATAACTAGTGAGAATCACTTGTTCTTAGGACAGCAAAAAAGACAAACTATAAAAATCTATCATAGAAAACAATAACACCTCTTAAAGATGACATTAAGAATAAAAATGATTAATTCCCAATATGGTCATAGTTGAAGCCAGGGCTAGCAGGAATATTACAGACTTATTTTTGGCAGATTTTCTAATTAATTATTGTTGTCATTTGTTGTTTAGTTGCTAAGTCATGTCGGACTCTTTTGCGACCCCATGGACTGTAACCCATCAGGCTCCTTTGTCCATGGAATTCTCCAGGCAAGAATACTGGAGTGGGTTGCCATTCTCCTAGAGGGTATCTTCCCCACCCAGGGATTGAACCCAGGTCTCCTGCTTGACAGGAGGATTCTTTCCTACTGAGCCACCTGGGAAGCCCATATAATTCACAGGAGCCTTTAATAAGCTTCTCCTCAGCTGCTGTTCAACTGAATGAAGTTGGGCAGGGACCTCTCTCTTCTCTTGAAAGGCATCAGTCAGTCAGCAAGTGTTTATTGAAAGTCTATTCTGTGCACAATGCTCTGAAGGTCATCTTAGTTATTATAATCAGTTCTGGAAAGTTCCTTTAGGGAATCTCACATTTCATCTCACAAAAATCTCAGGTCACACAAAAAAGTTATTATTCCAATTTTCACCCATTTTGCATTCCTCTACAAGCCTAACTACATTCCCCTTTGAGTTTCTCTCCTGTTCTCGGGAAACACTCTGTCCTTATTTATACACAGACTAAATGAAACTCTCCCACCATGCCTGAGGCAAAGACAAAAACCCCTGCTGCGTCGGGAGAAACCCTACCTTCCTCAAGAACTTCCCTTTAGCTAATTATCTCAAGTCTCTGCTTTCAAAAAACAGCAGAAAAAAGAAGTAATCTATACCACGTACTAGAAGTAAATATAATTTTACAGAAGAAACAAAAAGTTATGAGAAAAAAGTTAAATAACATTCTTAGCAAGACTGAATATAAAACCAACCAGAAAATTAAAGGCAAGATCTGTTATCTGGGGAAATTTTAACTTTGCTTTTATTAACTGCCTATAAGCCTCTGATAAATGAAAAGTAAACCATCCACCTTCACATTTCTATCTTTGTGCCTTCCATCTCAGATGAAATTCAGCCTCTTTTCATTCATCCATGAGACCTAGTCTTACACCCTAGACTTTACTTCCTATAGGAACTTTGAATTTAATGGACCTGCTTATCTTCATTTTCCAGAGAAACATATGCATGTGAGTCTGCAGACTTACAGATCTAAATATCATGTGCAGGGGCATGGCGATGTTAAGATTCAGGGCGTAGTTGTTCACCACGCTGACGGTGAAGAACATGGTCACCATTACGGCGTAGTACCTGAAAGGCAGAGACAGCAGTTCATTATCACATAGGGTCTACAATTTCAAGAAAATCAAGTAGACTAGGAGATATTTTTTATTTTAAAAGTATTGTGCTTATCTTCTCTATGTTAAAAGATTGTATCACTATCACATGAAGTCAAATACCAAGTATATATGAAAATACTTCACAAAGCTAGACTAATACAGAAAAAGTTTGAACTATAGAATGTGTTTCAAGAAACACTATTTTAATATTCTTCCATAATGATAAAAAACAACAACTTAAAAAAAATTTAGGAACTCTAATCACTTAGAAAGATAAAGGGATAAATACAAATGAAAAAATTTTATATTTGTATGCCCCCATTTTGAGCTAGAAAATATTTAAGATGACTCTCATATAAATCAGCTTAAACCATTTAAAATGCTTTTCTCTCTTGGTAGGCTAAACATCAGCAATTTCATACAATTCAACCTAATATATTCAAAATGAGAAAAACTGTATTTGAAGTATCAATTCGGTTGCTCAGTTGTGTCTGACTCTTTGCGACCCCAAGAACTGCAGCACGCCAGGCTTCCCTGTCCATCACCAACTCCCAGAGCTTGCTCAAACTTATGTCCATCGAGCCGGTGATGCCATCCAACCATCTCATCCTCTGTCGTCCCCTTCTCCTCCTGCCTTTAATCTTTCTCAGCATTAGGATCTTTTCCAATCAATCAGCTCTTCACATCAGGTACCAAAAGTATTGGAGTTTCAGCTTCAGCATCAGTCCTTCCAATGAATATTCAGGACTGATTTCCTTTAATTGACTTTTTAGTTTTTCTTCACTTTCTGCTATAAGGGTGGTGTCATCTGCTTATCTGAGGTTATTGATATTTCTCCCGGCAATCTTGATTCCAGCTTGTGTTTCATCCAGCCTGGCATTTCGCATGATGTACTCCACATACAAGTTTAATAAGCAGAGTGACAATATACAGACTTGATGTACTCCTTTCCCAATTTGGAACCAGTCTGTTGTTCCATGCCTGGTTCTAACTGTTGCTTCTTGACCTGCATACAGATTTCTCAGGAGGAAGGTAAGGTGGTCTGGTATTTCCATATCTTTAAGAACTTTCCACAGTTTGTTGTAAGCCACACAGTCAAAGGTTTTGGCATAGTCAATAAAGCAGAAATAGATGTTTTTCTGAAACTCTCTTGCTTTTTCTATGATCCAGTGAAGGCTGGCAATTTGATCTCTGGTTTCTCTGCCTTTTCTAAATCCAGCTTGAACATCTGGACGTTCTTGGTTCACATACTGCTGAAACCTCACTTGGAGAATTTTGAGCATTACTTTGCTAGCATGTGAGATAACTGCAATTGTGTGGTAGTTTAAGCATTCTTTGGCATTGCCTTTCTTTGGGATTGGAATGAAAACTGACCTTTTCCAGTACTGTGGTCACTACTGAGTTTTCCAAATTTGCTGGCATATTGTGTGCAGCACTTTCACAACATCATTTTTTAGGATTTGAAATAGCTCAACTGGAATTCCATCACATCCATTAGCTTTGTTCGTATTTGAAGTATTGGGTTGGCCAAAAAGTTTGTTTGGGTTTTTTTTTTTTTGCAAGATGTTACAGAAAAACCTGAATGAATTTTATGACCAACCCAAAGCAGAGCTAAAGAATTCAGGGCAAACGTGGACAAGTGGCTCCATATTCTTCAGGAAGTGTCGAAAGTCTTTGAGCACAAAATCCCATCCTTTTACCCCTTTGCACATCTGGAGAATGTGACACATTGAGTCTCAAGTTACCTTCCCTAACAAGAGCCAGTTTTGTGTTCCTGGTGAGGTAGAGGGCTCTCTGCCCTCATAGGCAGCCATGCCAGGGCAACATTACCCAGTTTGGGAAGTTTGAAGAGCTTCGCAATGAACGCAGAACCCAGTAATACACACATGCAGAGTTACTGCTAAGAGCAATGTCACAGCTTCTGAATAATAAACTGTTAGTGATTTCACAAGCTTTTTTGTCCAATTTTCCTTGTCCTGTCTTGAAAAGATGCCATTTGGAGGTAGACTTCATCAAGTTCTTTCAGGATAATTAATTCCAACTATTCCACATCACTGCCTACATATTGCACTGCCTAGAAATTGCTTGTGGGGATGAATGACATGAGCAAGGTTTTGATTATGCCTTTACAGATAGAAAATAAAATAGCCAGCACAAACTGCACACATGGGAGCATGGTTGTTAGGGAAGTTCATGGGGAGCCTCCGAAGGCATGTTAGGGAGTTTGGGCTTCACTCTTGTTCCAGTGGTGAACCCCGAGCGCTTGTGAAAGTGGGTGCTACAATACAATGGTAGGAAGCTGACACGGAGGGACGAACAGCTAGGTGATGGGCAGGAGATCAGCTTGCTAGGCTATTAGCATAAAAGTTACGGCGAGAGTGGAAATGTCCTTGAGCTATGCTACTGGCTGCCAGAGTAGAAAGAAATAGTGGAAGGAAGAGGAGAAGAACCAGAGGAATCAAAAAAGGTGGGGGCTTCTACGCTAATGTAAATGCTGGTCTTGGAAGGAGAAAGTTTTATACAGATACCAAAGCCACTGGGGGACAGGGGTATTTATCCTACTAAATACTCACAACTAGATGGATCACACTTTGTTTTTGTGTGCATGTGTCTTTTTTTTTAATTGAACAACAGGACCCAATGTATAACACAGAGAACTCAACTTAATATTCTGTAATAGCCTATATAGGAAAAGAATCTGAAAAAGAATGGATATATGTATACGTATACATATCTGTAACTGAATCACTTTGCTGTACACCTGAAACAAATTATTGTTAATCAATGCTACCCCAATATAAAATATAAATCAAATTTAAAAAATAATAAATACACTTTGATTTCAAGCATCTCACAGCAAGAACACTGTTTTTCAATACACTGTTTATTATAAGATCTGTCCTGTTTCTATTTGGCCCCATGAATATTATTACACAAATTTGGACTAATGGATGGAGGTCTGGAAATATGAATCTTACCTTAGTTTGCCATTCATTTTGTTCTGATTGAGGTGAAATTCACATAACAAAAAACCAACCATTTTACAGTGAACAATTCAGTGGTGTTTAGTATTGTGTTGACCAAAAAGTTGTTTGGGTTACAGAAAAACCAACCCAATATATTGCAATATTGTGTAACTACCACTTCCATCTCCAAAAGCCATCAGTTTTTTTAAAAGTAACAATACCACTGTTACCATATTTGGTTACCATCAGGATGATAACATACCTAAGTACTTAAAAATTGGTTCTCACACTAGGCCTTTAACTGACCATATGCCAGACACAGAAGATACACACACACACACAAATGAGTTATTTTAAGTGTTGTGGCAGGAATTGTATTCTAAAAATAGGGTCCCTGGAGTGTCACCACATATTAAATTCAGAAAATGAATGATTCTACTGCTATCTTTGATATAAATCTTATAAAAGGATGCCTCACATTCCTTTTATATGGTTACAAGAAGAAGAGCTGTTAAGTTTTTTAAAAGGGCTAAAAGAAGACTTCAACGTGCCATACCTTATTGGGATAGCCGGACGCTTCCTTCCCAAATCAGCCTCAAAGAGGAAGCCTTCCACAGCGATAAATAAAAACTGTGCAAACGTCACAATGTTCCCACATCCTGGATGTTTCCTGTGGAGTGGATAACAGAAAGAAAAAAAAGCACAGAAAACCGAGATAAAGGGCATTAAGACTTGTTTTACTGATAGTTCAGAGTAACATGTAAGATGGATTTCTATTACCCACTGTCCGTCTTTATTTCAGTTTTCATATCCCATGGATCTCACACACATAGCAACAGGCCCACAGAGAACATCAGTTTTCTTCCTTCACTCTTCCGAGGGTGTAGCAGGCCAGGAGGAAGAACCACTCTGATAATGTTCATTCCAAGAACTATGACAGAACTTCCCCAGTGAACTGTAGGAAGTTGGTCATAGGTTCTCACTGGGATCCTCACTTAACCAAGAGGGTTTTAGTCCAGATTCTTGTCAACTTGGGCACAAAGTCCAGAGACAGAAATACACTCAGGTCTCTGTAATGATTTAGTTTCCCTTGTGGCTCAGCTGGTAAAGAGTCCACCTGTAATGCGGGAGACCTGGGTTCAATCTCTGGGTTGGGAAGATCTCCTGGAGAAGGGAAAGGCTACCCATTCCAGTATTCTGGCCTGGAGAATTCCATGGACTGTATAGTCCATGGGGTCGCAAAGTGACACAACTGGGCCACTTTCACTTTGACCTGTAATGTTTACATATCCTCGCGACCAGCAATGTCCAAGACTGCTGTCAATCAAAGACTCCTGTCCAGTGCTGACCACAAGAATACCCCCTTAGACAGAGACCCCATGGGGGCAACAACTGGTTGGGGGGAGAGGGACGCGGAATCTTACTCTTTTTCTAAGTATAAAGCACAGGATAAACATACAGCATGTAAGTCCTACAAAGGGTCTTTTGTGGGCATTGGGGGAGGGACAAGGATGAAGACAAGACTGAGGAGCACTGCTACAGTCTACCAGCCTCCACTATCCTTAACACAAATGTACTAGGCACTCAACATACATCCCTGGAATTCACTGGAACCGCTTCAGTCATCTATGTAAGGTTGGGGAATCTTCCACAGTGACGCTTAGGAACAAATCTACAAGGTGGTAAAATTCTCTGACATCCCTCTTGAGGCACTTCGTGAAAGTTAGTTACCTAATATGTGTGGTTTGTTTTCAGCTTCATTGAGCATCATGTAGTGCTGCCCCATCACTGGAAGAAGGAAACAGTGGAAGGAGCAGTTGTCTTTGTTTTCCTGGGTCCTCCACAGTCTTCACGTTACCATTATTCCCATATTATGAAACAGAGCCTCCCAATTCTGTATCCGCATCTTCACCAAAGACATGTACTCAAGCCTAGTGATTAGAGGGATTTAACAACTATTATATATTAAAAAAATGTTATTTATTAACAACTCCATCCTCTATTGGTGGTGTCGGTGCTCAGTTACTCAATTGTGTCCTACTCTTTGTGACCCGCTATGGACTGCAGCCTGCCAGGCTCCTCTGTCCACCGGATTCTCCAGGCAAGAATACTGGAGTGGGTTGCCATGCCCTCCTCCAGGGGATCTTCCCGACCTAGGGACTGAACTCACATCTCCTGCACCTACTGCATTGCAGGTGGATTCTTTACTGCTGAGCCACCAGGGAAGCCCCTATTGGTGGCAATGATATTAAAATAGCAATCCCAAGGATTGCATTCTTAAATTCACTAAATAAAAATAAACAATGCCAAACATAAGCCATTCCCGTATAGCACTGTGCTTTCCATCTGAAGCGGAACTGTTGCTCCTCTCTAGGCTCTACTGCTTATGAAGGTTTCCTTGAAAACTACTGCTCTGTATTCAACGATCTCTTTTGGCACTCCTTATGTTCGAGGGACAGGGCGAAACATTGCAGGAATTCATACATAATCATGTAAGTCATTCCCCTCATTCAAGGAACTAGTCAAGACTATGAGCCTAAATATAAGTGACAGGAGAGGGAACTTTAGCTTTAGCACAGTGCTCTTCAACTCCGGCTGAAATGAAAGTGAAAGTCGCTCCGTCCTATCCGACTCTTTGCAACCCCATGGACTATACAGTCCATGGAATTCTCCAGGCCCCAATACTGGAGTGGGTAGCCTTTCCTTTCTCCAGGGGATCTTCCTAACCCAGGTCTCCTGCACTGCAGGCAGATCCTTTACCAGCTGAGCCACAAGGGAAGCCCAAGAATACTGGAGTGGGTAGTCCCTATCCCTTCTTCAACAGATCTTCCAGACCCAGGAATCAAACCGGGGTCTCCTGCACTGCAGGCAGATTCTTCGCCAGCTGAGCCACAAGGGACTGAGGCTAGGCTGCTCTTTAAAAACCCAGAAGCCTGAGAGGCCCCACCCTCCCCTGTGGGCTTGGGCCCTGGAATCTGTATTTTTGAAAGCTTCCCACTAGATCCTAATGTGCACCCAGAGCTGAGAACCACTAGGGTAGGTCTGGGAGGTGTAGGAGTGTGTGTGTGCATGAGACGCACAAGTCTTAAGGGCTGCCGTGGGGCTGAGGGTCCATGTGCTCCACAGAGCTTGTGTATGCCAAGCTGCTACAGTCACACGTGACTCTTTGTGACCCTACGGCTTAGAAGCACACAGGGACACGCAGGATCCAGCTCTGCCGCTTACCTGATGACAGCGGAAGTTAATTACCCTAAGTTTAGTTTTCTTATCTTCAGAATGGGAACAGCACTAGTGCCTATCTCCTTGAGTAAATAAGCTAGTCCCTGAAATGCACTTAACAGAGGGAAAAGGCAAAGAGTAGAATACTAGGATACCTTCAACCTAGATATAGTAACTCTTCTAAAGACATTTATATTGACCAAGTTTTCTCACCTGTAAAACAGAAGTGATATCTTTTTAATGTCATAGTGAGGATTCAATGAGAAATCAACAATCACAGGACTCGGTCCAAGAAGGGCTCATTATACTTCTTGCTTTCCCTTGCATTTCCTCTTTACCACCAGCTTAGGCCAATTCAACTAATGAATAATTATTGAGAACATTCTGCATGTGCAGTTAAGTGCTGGCTGTGAGGGAGCTGCCAACTTAATGAGACATGATCCCTGCCAAGCATGGGTGGAGTAGGAGGCAGAAGGAACCCAGTGCCCTGATCCATCTTCCTGGATGGTTAAAGGGTGTCCTGTTCATCTTCATGCCTCCAGTCTCTGGGCACTGAGTCTGGCCTTCACTCAAGCAACTGAAGGAAACATGACCTAGAATATTAGGATTGTATGAAAGTTAAAAAGAAACTACTTCAAAAAAAAAATATTCCCTTTAAAAGTATTATTCTTCACAGGATGTTTTAAAGGGCATCATAACAGGATTGGATCAAGATGGTGGAGGAGTAGGACATGGAGCTCACTTTCTCCCACAAATACATCAAAAATACATCTATGTGTGGAACGATTCTCACAGAACACCTACTGAACACTGGCAGACGACCTCAGACTTTCAAAAGGGCAAGGAAATCTCCATGTAACTGGGTGGGGCATAGAGAGAAAAGAGAAAGGAATCGAGATGGGAACCTGACCGCCTGAGAGGGAGACTGTGAAGGAGGAAAGGTTCCTGCCCTTGGGAAAGGCCCTCTCTTGCAGGGAGATCAGCCAGGACAGGGGGGGAGCTCCGGAGTCCTGGAGGAAAGCACAGCAACCTGTCTGCGAAGGGCAAAGCAGACAGAGACCCACAGAGACCCGCAGAGACGGGCAGTGCTGCCCAGCCCTCCCCAGACTGAGATGCCCCCCTGCTGGGGTGGGTGGGGGCTGGGGAGCGAGGCTCGGGTTCCAGAGCTCAGACTCTGGGGAGAGGACTGGGGTTGGCTGTGTGCAGACAGCCTGAGGGGGCTGGATAGGATGTGGTGTGCCACAAGCAAGGGAGTATGGGAAGAGGCCTGGGCCCATTAGAGAAGCAAGGCCATTATTGGGCGGTGTGTGAGGAGGGGGTGGACCCACCAGAGGAGCGTCTTTCTCCAAGTGCACGCTCAGGAGGCAAGGCACAGGCTACTTGGACTCTAGGAGTCCTGAGGAAAGAGACACCACCCAAATCCAAAACAGCCCTCCTGCCAGAAAATATTAAACTCACACAAGCTTGGAGTAGGAGGCAGAAGGAACCCAGTGCCCTGATCCATCTTCCTGGATGGTTAAAGGGTGTCCTGTTCATCTTCATGCCTCCAGTCTCTGGGCACTGAGTCTGGCCTTCACTCAAGCAACTGAAGGAAACATGACCTAGAATATTAGGATTGTATGAAAGTTAAAAAGAAACTACTTCAAAAAAAAAAAATTCCCTTTAAAAGTATTATTCTTCACAGGATGTTTTAAAGGGCATCATAACAGGATTGGATCAAGATGGCGGAGGAGTAGGACATGGAGCTCACTCTCCCACAAATACATCAAAAATACATCTATGTGTGGAACGATTCTCACGGAACACCTACTGAACACTGGCAGACGACCTCAGACTTTCAAAAGGGCAAGGAAATCTCCATGTAACTGGGTGGGGCATAGAGAGAAAAGAGAAAGGAATCGAGATGGGAACCTGACCGCCTGAGAGGGAGACTGTGAAGGAGGAAAGGTTCCTGCCCTTGGGAAAGGCCCTCTCTTGCAGGGAGATCAGCCAGGACAGGGGGGGAGCTCCGGAGTCCTGGAGGAAAGCACAGCAACCTGTCTGCGAAGGGCAAAGCAGACAGAGACCGGCAGAGACGGGCAGTGCTGCCCAGCCCTCCCCAGACTGAGATGGCCCCCTGCTGGGGTGGGTGGGGGCTGGGGAGCGAGGCTTGGGTTCCAGAGCTCAGACTCTGGGGAGAGGACTGGGGTTGGCTGTGTGCAGACAGCCTGAGGGGGCTGGATAGGATGTGGTGTGCCACAAGCAAGGGAGTATGGGAAGATGCCTGGGCCCATTAGAGAAGCGAGGCCATTATTGGGCGGTGTGTGAGGAGGGGGTGGACCCACCAGAGGAGCGTCTTTCTCCAAGTGCACGCTCAGGAGGCAAGGCACAGGCTACTTGGACTCTAGGAGTCCTGAGGAAAGAGACACCACCCAAATCCAAAACAGCCCTCCTGCCAGAAAATATTAAACT